GCTATTGGTCAGCATGTTGGACAACCCAAATATACAACATTACTATCATCACTAAAAATTCTATTAGACAGTGCTGTTTCAATGATACTATGTGCAGATACAAGGCCTGAAGCTGTTTCGCCAACATGAAAAAGTAGGTATGAGTACAAAACCAATGCAAGGGGAAGACAGAGAGCCCACTTCAACAGAGCCTCATCAGCACACTGCTAGAATTTTGTTATATGATATAACACACACCCGTCCTTTTTCCCAATCCCGCCCCCACTTTTTAAAAACTTGTTCTAATTATACATGCACTTTGACACATTCTTCTGTTGAAGAATAACACTGGTTGTGTAGTTGTATATGTATATAGGGTAATAATGTCTAATTCATTCTACTATACTTCCTTCCTACCCTCATATTCCCTCCCCTCCCTTCACTCCCCCTCTACCTAATCCAAAGTAACTCTATTCTTCTCTAGCCTCCCCCCTTAATCTCCAGGATATATAAAGAACTCAGAAAACTTAACACCAAAAAGTAAACAACCCAATCAATAAATGGGCTAAGGAACTGAATAGACACTTCACAGAAAAAGAAATACAACTGATCAACAAATATATGAAAACGTGTTTAATATCCCTAACAATTAGAGAAATGCAAATCTCACTCTAGTCAGAATGGCAATTATCAAGAATACAAGCAACAATAAATGTTGGTGAGATGTGAGAAAAAGGTATAATCATACATTGCTGGTGGGACTGCAAATTGGTGTGACTACTACAGAAAGCAGTGTGGAGATTCCTCAAAAAACTTGGAATGAAAGCACCATTTGACCCAGCTACCCCAATCCTTGGTTTATACCAAAGGACTTAAAATCAGCATACTACAGTGGCGCAGCAACATCAATGTTTATAGCAGCTCAATTCACAATAGCTAAACTATGGAACCAAAACACCCTTGTTTTAAAGACTAGTTTCAGTCAGGTCTTCTGTTGCTTTCAACCTAACCAATATGGCATAGTTTTCAAACAATTGTATAGTTGATTGTTACAATCCCTAAGATTTATAACTTTAATATTTTCTCTGTCCTATTGAAACACTAAGTGGTACAACAAGCATTCAGTAAATAAATATTATAGTAAAGATATGCGAGTTAGAATACTAAACACAGAAATTTACTTTGAATTACTAACAAAATGTCAAAAAGAGTTTGAGCTCTTAATATCAAACACCTTTTACAAAATGCCTAAATGCTTATCTAAAGCTATTTTCTACCATCCTTCAAAAATTTTTTTAAATTTTTTTTCCAGTTGCAGATGGACACAATACCTTCTTCTTCTTCTTCTTCTTTTTTTAATGGAGTGCTGAAGATAGAACCCAGTGCCCTACACATTGGAGGCAAGCACTTTACCACTGAGCCACAACTCTGACCCTCAAAATGTTTAATACCTCAAACATAACATAGGTAGGTTTTTTATTACTTCAAAGTAATAACAAATTTTAAATACTTAATTCATCTATACAAATGTAGAAATGGCAATAACATATTTAATTATGTTTTATGCAATAATCCTATATGAATGGAAACATAAAAAGCAAGCTGATTTTTAAAATTCCTGCACAAATATTACTTGTTATTTGTTTCTTCTTCAAAACATCAACATTTTTAAGATTTTCAAGCTAGATTCTGTAAATAACTTAAGGCCAGAAATTACACAAAACAACGAACTATTATAGGAAAAGAAAATTTCTACGAAAGCAAAGCATGACAGAAAAACATTCTCCACTGAATTACAAGAAGTAAATTCTAACACACACAATTAAGCTGTAGTCTATTCTAGAAAGCTAAAGCACAGTCTATTTATCAAGTCTTAAAAATTGCTAGCATTTATAAAAATATATAAAAGATTTACCTGCTAATGTTTTACTGCTAATGAATTAAAATAAGAACTACAACAACCATTCTTTAAATAAATAAACATAATCTCATTTCTTCTAAACATATAGTAACATTCTTCAAAGAACATCCTTAGGATACACAATTATCAAAGTACATGTTAACAATTGTGAGTCAATTAAACAAAAAATGTGAAAAATCCTCATGTATGTACTTACTTTCTTAAAATACTACCATTTGAAACTTCACAGGCACGGCCCTAATTCCATAATTATAAGTTAAAAAGCAGAGTTCTGGCTAATCTAAGCAAAGAAGATATCTTCTATAGAGATTTTAGATCCTTAAGTAGTCTTTTTCAGAAATAAAATAACTTAATAAATAAATACTGAAAACTGGGTGTCACCTGAATTTTAACATATCTGTTCAAAGTGCCAGTTTTCAAAAATTACATGTTTCCAATGGATCTTTATAAAAGAGAACTATTTCACCATTTAAAAATATCTATATATTTCACTTTATTAAAGCATACACAGAACACTGATGAAAATGTTAAATACCCAGCACCACCATTTGCTTTAAATAATCTTCTAGTTCTAATTACAGTATAAAAATTTATATACTGAATGATTACTGTTTGGTAGGAAATATAAATATTGGGATTCTAAGGGCCTTCAAAGCCTTACTAAAGTGTATCCAACAAAAGGACTTCTGCAGTAAAACAATAATATACCCAACACATCATCTTGTTAAGAAAAAAGAAGCAGGATGGTCATTTACCATTATCTACCTGGGTCTGGTACACAGTCATGATATATTAGTGAAATAAATAAAATATGTAGAGATAATTCAATATCTTTACTCCTTCTCTCTTTTCTCTTCCTTTCTCTGCAACCCCTTTCAAAAATTGCCATGCATTTCTAACACACTTTCTTGTCTGAGAATGTAAGACAATGAAACCTAGCAAGCTATTTTATTAAATTCTTTCAGTGACTAGGCAAACCACCAGGTTAAAGTCAAGCACCTAAATACATCATGAGATGGTGGTTTACTTCTCAGGTATTAGCTAATCTTATTATTAACATTACACTACAGCTATACTTAGCTGATCTGTCTTCATAAACTGGAGAGTGCAGAAATTGTCTTAATTTCCACCTAAGTTGCCCTTTGGACATAAAATACCTTCCCTCTATCCCATTCCCTTCTTCAACCATTTCCTGTTAAAAACTGGTGATAGGGTCACCTCTAGAGGAAGTTCACTCTAACCACTCTCCATCTCCTTTTTCTCTTTGGTCAAAAATTTGACCAGTGCAATGAAGGCCTTCCAGAATAAAAAAGAACACTTTATATCTACTGATGAGTATTAAAATAATTCCTGAACATATGGACATAAAAAGGGCACAGATATTGGTGAATAATCACAAGAAATGTCTTACAGAAACTTACATTACAAAGTGATATATATCATCCTTCCCCCACCCCCGAACTCATTTATTTATCAAAAACATCAATCTCTGATGGAGAAAAATATGACCTCAACAAGAAAAAACACACCTGGAGATGCATAGTTTCTTATAAAAAGCACATAAATGAAGACCAATAATTGTATGAAAAAATAATAATATTCAAATACATAGCAAAATAAAAATAGTAAAACTGAAATTGCAAGAGCTATGGTGACTGCTGTGTGAAGTGATGGTGCAGCGACATGTGGGAAGAGGAGGAGGGCCATGAGGATTGTGTGCCTCACCCTGTGAGTCATCATCCTGCTGCTTCAGGCTCTGTTAGGAATAAAAGAGCAGGGCAGGGGGCTGGAGGTGGAGGAAAGCTTTGTCTTGTCTTCAGATGCCTCATTATTTTTTCCCTTTCCCTGCCGCTCCACTGCAGCCCTGTAAAACATTAGGCAAGCCTCTTAAAACACTCCCTGTCTGTTCCAATCCTTATCTATAATATAGGGGGGAAAGTGATTGGTTCCAAAAGCCTCTCTGAGGATATTTTAAACCTGTAAGAAAACTGAAGCAGAATCATGCCTTCCAGTTCTACCGGGTCAACACTAGATAAGTCAGTTAACTTTCAACCAGATTCCATCTCTTACCATGCTCCCACACCTTTCAAGAAGCAACCATTAAAGGAGCTACATTTGAAGAAGCTCTTATAACTATGTAGAACTGAACTGAAATGTAACCTATTAGAAATACATATCCTAGTGACAACTGGTATACTATTTTGAATGGCTTTTTAAAAGGTTTAAATAGTTACAATTTATGCTTGCTCCCCACCTGTAATCATTTCAGGAGATATTCTTGGGGATAAAAATATTTAAAAAGCTGAATAACCATTGCCAAGATATTGTGTATTAACTTAAAGCTTTTGGTTTATAAATGCACTTAGGACAAGTTAATATAAAATTGCTTAGACTTCATATCAAAATGAGTTTCTGATTCAGTAAGTCTTGGATAGGGCCCATGAACTTGCATTTCTAAACAATTCTCTGGTGATACTGATGTTGCTGGACAGGGTACCACATTTTTGAGAATCATTAATTGTATTTAATATACTATTGGCACACTTTTACTATTACCTGTTTTTGTTACCTATTTGATAGGTACATCTTATATTGATTCCCTAGTGTTCTTTAAGATCTTATTTTCAAATTCCTTTGCAATTTGAAGGCAGGTGAAGATTATTAAGATTCAAGAAGGTAGACTTTCTTCAGAATCCAAGTTATCATCATTCTGTTTCACTTATATCTGTGACTCAATTTCATCAACTATGAAATAAGGATTCTACAATATTATAAAAATTAATTCATTAGAAGAGTAGCAGAGTATATGAAATGCTTAATAAATGCTATTTTTCTTGTTGCAACTACCCTCATTAATTTTCTGTTCATTATTAAGGAAAACTCATTTATAGTTGCTAAATGTTATATATGATTGATATGTGTATAAACTCTAACTTATTTATAGTGATACGTTTCAGAGCTTCACTGAATCCAGTAAACTGGGAAGCAAAGAAAGAGGATAATGTCAGAGACCTGGGTTCTGGTCTGACCCTGCCAATGTCTTTTACAGGACTCTGGGTAGGTCATTTGAGTCCCAATTTCTATTTCTAAAAAAGCTTACCTTGGATGTGAAGATCAAATGAGATTCTGCAAATGGAATTTTTTTAAAAGTGTTATGGTATTCCTGTGATGAAAAAGAAATACCTCTATTTGGTAACACTTCACAAGACATTAGTAAGAGAGAGAAATGGTCATGGCCCCTGTATTTTGTCCTTAAATGATAGCACAATGATTTCAACTGCCACACGAGTTATTTATGAATGTTCTCCAATGCCACCAAGTCATCTTTTTTAAAAAATAGTATGAGCTGTAAAATTTAATGCTTCAACTATTTCTACAAAATGGCAGACATGGTAGCACATGACAGCAATGCCAGCAACTCAAGGGGCAGAGACAGGAGGATTGCAAGTTTAAGGCTAGCCTCAGCAACTTAGTGAGTCCCTCCAGCAACTTAGCTAGACCCTTACTCAAAATAAAAAAAAGGGCTGGGGATGTAGCTCAGTGATAAGGTGCACCTGGGTTCAACACCCAGTACCAAAAAACCAACCAACCAATCAACCAAACAAAAATATTTCTGCAAAATGAGAAAAAACTTAGTAACAAAAATAATACCATGTCTAATATAATAATTCATAAATTTATCATAATGTATTGAGAAGAAAATACAGAGGTCATAACATTTTCTTTGTATGTTTACATTAAATACTACTTTTTATAGGACTAAACAGATGTGTACCACCTACCTAGGGCTGTGGGTGTAACTCAGTGGTAGAGTGCTTGCCTAGCACTCTGTGCAAGACTCTTGAGTTCAATCTCCAACTCCACACACCAAAATTCTGCCGCCTCTTTTTGTATTAATGCTTAATAACATGAAAAGATATGAACATCTTTGATGACATTCTTTGTGAATTGTTACCTAATGAAATATAGGAAATAGAGCTTTCAGATTCATAAATATATCCACTTGAGGGGAAAGCAGTGTACCTCAACTCCACAAGGAGAGAAGGTCCTGCTCTACGGACCCTTTCAAACCTCCTTTCCATCTGGCTGTTCATCTATATTATAAAATGATTTATAATAAACAGGTTAAAAGTCAACCAGTGTTTCTCAAGTTCTGTGAGCCACTCTAATGAATTCATCAAAACAAAGGAAGGGCTTGTGGAAACCCTGGTTGGTACCTAGTATGGACTTCACCCCTCATCCTATGGGCTCGCACACTAACTCTACTGATAGAGTGTCAGAACTTTACTGAATTAGAAGATACTCAGTGTCCACTGATAAGCTGTTTGGTGTATGGAGAAAAACCCCACAAATATCTGGTCACCAAATTTTGAGTGTTGAGTGTAGAAGTGTAGGGGTAAAGTTTGTGTTCTCTCTCAGAGCTACACAATTAAAATAATATCAAATGACTATTTAATTATTACTGTATATATTTAGGTATTTTATTTGCAGACCAGAAATGGTTGGATGAGAATAAAGACAAGTATTATCTATAAATACATACATAACAACATAAAGTTTTCTTGACTTCAGCAAAGTCACCAATTATATTGTTATAATCAAGACTTTCACATAATCTGCACTCTTGATGCTAATGAGCTAAAAAATTAAAAAGTTAAATGTAACCATATTCATAGTGTAAAATTAAAAAATTATTTTCAAGCATTCAAATGCTATTTTTCTAAGGCTTAAACAATCTATTAAAATTAAAGTGTAAAACAAATTCCAAGTATTTAAGTTTATAGAAAGGTGACATTTTATTAAATATTTTGATAAAAATAAAACTATCAGTAATTTAAATGTTCAATGCCTATCTCAATATCAGTGTATTTCATGTGTCATGACTGCTATGCTGCTATGCCAGAGACATATATGTAAATCTAAGAGCAATGTGAAGTGTTTAGCACAGGAAAATGTTCCTCAGCACTAGGTGCAAGTGTGTTCTACTTTGAACTGATACATTTTTATATAAGAAAATATTACATGCACACTGAGAGGAAGGAATTGAGAAGGTAATCAATCTTTCTTTCATCTTCCCTAGTACTTTCACTGTTCAAATTCTCTCTATATTCTAAACAATGGTCTCTCTATAATCAAGAGTAGCACAACCCATAAAAATCAGTATTTTGCTCACCGTTGCTCTTTATTTCAATGACAGGACAAGAGGTATGGAGACATTATTTCCCTGGGATCTAAACAGTGTTTGTTATAACAGACATTTAGTTGCTCTTTATTTCAATGACAGGACAAGAGGTATGGAGACATTATTTCCCTGGGATCTAAATAGTGTTTGTTATAACAGACATTTAGTTGCTCTTTATTTCAATGACAGGACAAGAGGTATGGAGACATTATTTCCCTGGGATCTAAATAGTGTTAGTTATAACAGACGTTTAGCCTCACACTGCATACAGTAGGCAACTTTCTAAAATGGTTGTCAGTAATCCCATCTCCCAATATTCATGCCTTAGTGTAATCCTGTTACTTAGTGTAAGTTGAATTGGACCTAGTGACTTGTTTCTATCAAGCAGAATATGGCAAAAATTATAGAATGTCACTTCTGAAAATAAGTTATAAAAGATGTGACGTTTGGCTTGCTGGAACTCTATTGCTGGCTTTGATGGCTGAAGCTGCCATATTGGAGAGGTCCACCTGGTAAGAAACTGAGAGAGGGTGGACACTGGACAACAGTCAATAAGAACTGAGACCCTTAGTGCAACAACCCTTAAAGGTATGACTCCTACAAAATCAATGTAAGCTTAGAAGCAGATACTTCCCTAGTTGAGCTTTGAATCATTTTCAGATGTTACCAATGGCAATATTTTCACTGTAGCCTTGTGACAGTCCCTGAAGCAGAGGATTAAGCTAAGCTTCCCCCCAATTTCTGACCCACAGAAACGATGACATAACTTTTTTAAATGCATCCAATGGAATTTAAATGTCACAGCTATATGATATCAAGTATCATTCTTTTAAAAAATATATGTATAAATTATCAGCTGTTGATGAAACATAGGACATAAGGGAGTAAAATTCATTTTCTGTAGGAAATATAATATTCTGGAAAAGTAGTGTGTAAAGATTTTCAAATAAATGTCATTTTAAAGATAGCAGTGATACTCTTCATCTCAAATATTTTAGCCTTATAAGGCTCATTCTAACGGCAATCCCTTAATTTACTAATGTGTAAGTTTTCATTTTCACAGACAGTCCCTAATTGGTTTGACTTACAATTTTTCAACTTTATGGTGGTGCAAAAATAATAGGCATTCCATAGAAACTATATTTTTAATTTTTAACTTTTCTCAGGCTAGTGATATGTTGGTGCAAAACTCTCAGGATATTGGAAAGTAAAAGCTTGGCACAATTTGCAGGTAATTTATGGGTCTCCTAGGACATAATCCCATCATGAAGTTAAAAGACATCTGTAATTCAACTTACTAATGCAAGAAGTATATACATCCCCAAAATATTCAAGACCTTAATTTACAATGCCCCAATAAATTTAATATGTCAATGCTATTAATTTGAAAAAAAAAAAAGTTGCATAGTTTTTAAAATTTCACCAACTCTAGTGAAAATTCTAAAATTTGAAATTAAAATGTTGAACTAGTTTTAAAACACAGGTAATATAAAATAAGAAAGAGCAAAGAACACTATTCTGTAGGTGGGTTTCTAATATGTGTATTTATACATGAAATTGAAACATAGATAAATATAAACACCACAGCTACCACTGTTTATAATCACAATTTAATTAGCTACCAACTACCCAAATCCAAAATGCTTGGAACAAGAAATGTTTCAAATTTCAGAGCTTTTTTAGATTTTGGAATATTTTTATGAAATTTACTGGCTTAACAGCCCTATTCTGAAAATCTGAAATCTTTTTGAGTGTCATGTCAGCATTCAACAAGTTTCAGATTTTGAAGCGTTTCAGACTTTGTACTTTTGCATTAGGGATACTCATATAAGTTTACCGTGCTCCCAGAAAATATACTTGATCTAAACCCCACTGACATAATATGTGTGCATCCTTATGCTACAAACCCTGTAGATATGGTTAACAGCTCAGTTCAGCCATCCTTCTTTTTACAGTACATCCCCAAAGGGTTCGTATGTAGGATACGATACAACAGAATACATCTGCAGAAAACTACATTTTAATATAATCAAGACTATGAGAGGGTATTTTGGCAACTCAGGAAAAGTAAAGTTCTACTCATTTTATTTATTTTTCTTCTCTACTCATTTTAAAAGCTAACATATATGCAACAAGAAATAGGCAAAGTCATTAGAAGCCTTATGAAAGTTGTTAAAGAAGTTTGTTAGTGTCACTACTGATCATATTACATAAGGAAATACCCTAAAGCAGATCACTTCTTAAATGTTTGTGCCTCTTTTAACTCCTGATTTCCTCAGCCACATGTGATGGCTCAGGAGTCTAGAATCCCACTAACAAGTATAAGTTTATTTACATAAACAACTATAAGTTTATTTATATAAAATCTTCTGTTGGTAAAAGTGTATTTCAGGGACTTGTGAAACCATGGGTAGAAAGAATATTCTTTCAGCTTGAATTAGAAATCTCTAAATAACATCCCCTTGTAGAACCCACAGCACACAGAAGTCCTACAAATATTTTTGTCAAATGTATAGATGAGTATAAAAAAAGTTGCTTCCAATTACAACTTTTGGAAAGGAAAGTATATGAAACAGAAAAGAAAATAATTGTAATGGTATTCTAAAAATATCCTTATATATGAGATACCTGTAAGATACTTAGAGAGTACTGACCCATTTTCAATAATGGTATCCTGTAAATTCAGTTTGGTCCTCCACAAAAGTCCTAGTAGATGCACCAGTTATGAGCTATTACTACTGATAAAAAAGAACTCAGACACTTACATAAAAACTCGTGAGGATGCACTTGCTTGCATCATCTTCATATGTGAAAGAAAGCCTATCTTACAAGTCCCCTCCACTCCCACAGGGCTGAAGACCAAACTCAGGTCCTTGGGCATGCTAAGAAACACCCTGCCACAGAGCTAAATTCCCAATCTCTTATCTTACAAGTTTAATAGTCATTGTTTTATAATGAAGACTTAGTAAGATTTTTATAAGTAAGTAATAAGAATAAAGTCTTCTAACTTATCTGAGCACAACAAATTTATTGCTTATTATCCTAAATATATCCTATTCAATGTATTTTATATAAATTCAGAATTTCATAGAGATCTTTTGGTAAGAGTCCTGTTAGCTTGTATCTAAAAAATACAACTAAAAAGAAAATATCAAAATCCCAATTGATAATCAAACGGCAAAAGTTTTCTTTCATATTGAAACAGATTGCAGCACTCAGGAAAGTGTTAAATGTTTGGGATTTACTCTCTTAAAATTTGACTGTTGACCACATCAGAGATGAAGAATGAGGTGGTTTTAAAATTCTGTGAAGATTAAACCAGACTATATTCTTTAATTCTCTAAAAGAAGTAAGCTTTAGACTGTGTGAAGTACCCTCAACTTCCAGGGGACAAGAACAAATGCTGCAATGAAAGAGCAGAGTAGTTAGGGTTAGGAGGTATCCCCTTCTATAATGAAACTAGCTAAAATATCTACTTGCTGATGTCAACAAAGTCAAATCTATTTCTTTGTTTTACTTAAGGCTGTGAAACTTTTGATAAGATGTTTAAAATAAGTAACTCATTTTAAACACAGTAGGAATACTCTCCATTTCAAGGAAATCCAGTTATAAATTCTCCTACAACCCTTACCTAAATGATCCCTTAGCTTATAAAAATATAACATATGCTCATGAAATACAAGAGCGAATCTACTACATAGTTCATGTTGCAAATAAGTGATAAGATGTGCCATAAAAGCTAATGTGACAAAATAATTCACAAATGACAAACATAATTATATTAAGGGAATATGGCTAAAGATAAAACCATATAGTTTAATCAAAGTGATCAACAAAAACAAAATCAAAAACTCGCAACAGATTTCAGGGAGGTTCACAGTATTAACTTATAAAAGTTATCTTTTATAAATTTGAAACAGAAAGGAATTAAAGGAGAAAGTATGCTGGTTCTCCTTTTTGAAGGTTTTATTTTAAAATACTATTTCTGAGTTGAAGAAAATTCATCATAAAACTATGGGTAAATCAAGCTACAGAGATGAGTCCTAGCTGTACTTATACTATACTTTTACTTCTCATTTGAAACAACTGATTACTGACTAAAAAGTTGGATTTTTAATGTAAGTAACAGGATTCTTTTTTTCAATAACAAACTAAATCAATCACTCTCCAGAAAGGGACTGCTAAGGCTGAGAAATTTTAAAATTCATTTTTTAAACTGTAGCATAATCTGTGGGGACAAATAATTTAGATTTCCATACAATAAAATAGTTAAGTATTTTTCTCTAGCTTAATTTCAATCATTTGATATAAAATCTAGATTGGGTTTCCATATGTTCTCTTATACTTAGTTTTGCATCATCACATGGCTTCTCTACTTTCTCTAAGGAAATGTCTAATTTAAAAAATTATTTTCTAATATTGCAAAACTAAGCCAAAGGTTTTTGTTGGTTGGTTGGTTGGTTGGTTGATTTTTGGCAGAAATGGGGACTTAATCCAGGGCCCTGTGCATGCTAGGCAAGTGCTTACCCACTGAGTTACATCCCAGCCCCAATGTATCTCTCAAGTAATGAAAAAGTCCTTTTTAAAAAATAGAAATGAAACACTCTTGTAAATGCAAGCAAAAAGGCAAAAGTAACCAAGAAGCTAAGTTAAATGTTATTATAAATATAGTACATGGAAAAGTTATTTTTTATAAAATTTGAAGCAGAAAAGAATTAAAGGGGAAAGTACAGTGGTTCTTCTTTTTGAAGGCTTTATTTTAAAATACTATTTCTGAGTAGATGAAAATTCATCCTAAAAAGAATTCCTTTTTTCACTTAATTAGGTTGGCAAAACCATAAGAAACACTAAAAAGGGCAGTGGATAAACAAAAAAAGGACAAGGATTTTCCCTCACTCCCAAAAATGTAGTATTAATGAAATAAATATTGTTTATATAATTTGCTTTCTTTTCATTAGTATTTATTTATTTTTTAAAGGTAGAGTGTTATTTCTTTTTTTTAAATATTTTTTAGTTATAGATGGACACAATATCTTTACTTTGGTTATTTATTTTTATGTAGTGCTGAGAATCGAACCCAATGCCTCACATGTGTGAGGCGGGCGCTCTGCCACTGAGCTACAGCCCCAGCCCTTTTTATTAGTATTTAAAGTTGTAAGTTACCACTGACAAAATGAAATGACTAAGATTTTTAAAATTATAACTTCATCTTAACCAAAAGTGATGGTTTCTTATAATAATTTAAAAATTCCTATAAAATATGTAATCACAGATGAAATGTTAGATTATACTAGTTAAATGTTAGATATATAAGGTAAAACAGCCCACTTCATTTTGTTTGAACAAATAGGATATGTTTATGCCATAAGTGAGTGTTCATATATCCATTTTCAATCCTTCTAAGAAATAATTCAGAGAAAAGATACCTCTACCTGATTTATGCTCTGTATGTACAAAGTAATCTGAGTTACTCTTATTAAATGCAAGATTCAATTATTATTTGCAATTCACACATTACTAGATATATGTGTTACCTCAACAATATCCGAGTTGGTTCTGCTTTCATGAGGCTCATTATATTCTGTATACTTGAGAAGAACTTTGTCCATATCAGTGCTGGCATACTGAAACAGTTTGTTAGAGCTGTTGAAAATGATGAGTGCTATTTCACAGTCACAGAGCACACTAAGTTCATAGGCTTTCTTCATCAACCCAAACTTTCTCTTTGTAAAAGTGACCTAGACAATCAAAGAAAAAAAGTATATTTTATTAAAAGCATTAGTAGTACTCGAAATACAGACTATTTTGAAGATGAATCTTCTTATAATACTGAGCCAGATTTCAAAGATGGAAAAGTATTCTACTCTCACACTTCATATGGGCCTTCTCCTTCCCCATTCTGCCAGCCTTACATATTTATCTTATATGTCTAACAGCTCTAAAAGGGAAGTCTCCTCTCCTTCTAGAAGGTATTCCTTATCTTTTTTTTTTTTTTTTTTTTTTGGCTATGACTACACCATAGAAGGCAAAGAAACAGAGAAGGAAATAGCTGACCAGTGGTCCCTTATCTCTCATCTTAAAATTATTATCACCAAAACCCCTAATCCCTCCATCCAGGTATCAATCATCATCCAGGTAATCAATCATCATCCAGGCTTTAATGTCTAAACAACTAAGTAAATACACACTAACTCATGCTTTCCCTCATTCCCAAATCTATCTATAGCACCCACTAAAATTCAGTCTAGGATCAGCAAGTTCTCTGATGTTTTCAAATTCTTCTTTTAAAATTTATTTCTCTAATTAAAATCTGCTGCCTGAAGACTCTCAAACCGATACCCCAATTTTTTTCAGTTTGTTTCAAAATATTACTTGCCTTATATTCAAGTCCTTTTACCTTCCTATACTTTCTTCCAAATTATTTGTTCTTCCGTCCCCTTCAAAGCCCTCAGATATTTTTAAGCCTATGCCATGAAATCATACCAACTTATAATCCTCCTTTTGGTGAGCACAAAGCAATACCCACCACCACCTCTTTCTCATGCAGTATTACCTGATTACTCCCCACCCACACACTTTATTTTTCTTTCCAGTTCTGCTCTGCTTCTACCCCTGGCACCTTGGCCTCTCAGTTTCTTTACTTGAAAATCTCCAGTGATTTTACCTCTAATACATGTTCATCACCTATTCCCTTTGTCACACCCTCAACTACACCACCACCAATAATCCACATTACTTCCAAAATCTCAAATTCATGAAATCTATTTTGACAGTCTCCTCTTCTGCTCTATTTTCTGTTACCTCTCCAGATATTTTTATACCTCATCAAGTCCTCCAACTGATTTACCTTACCACTTTATTACTACAGATTGAGTAACCTTTACCCAAAATGCTTGGGACCAAAGGTGTTTTGAATTTGGGCTTTTTTGAGATTTTTGGAACTTTTGTTCATGGGACCTCAGTCTAGACACATAATTCATTTGTTTTTATACACACAGTCTGAAGGTTAATTTTTACAACACTTTAGTCAATCTTTGTTTTTATTGTGACTTATCTTACATGGCCAGGTGTGGAATTTTCCACTGCGGTATCATGTCAGTGCTGAAAAAGCTTAAAATTTTGGACTTCTGATCTTCAGGTAAGGGATGTTCAACCTGTATTTATTCTCATGTATTTTCTTCTCTTTTTAGATTTGATGACCCAACACTACTTTCACTCCCTTTCAAACACTTCTAATGTCTCCTCTTCTCTCATTAACATACTTTTCTGACACATTCACCAAAAAGAAACTGACTTCCTAAATATACACCAAAATATCCCTATGTCTTTAAGCAAATAGTTGACAATTTCTGGCAACACACCACACATACACACACCTGGTGTGACTGAACTGATGATCATTAAATCTCAATTAACACTCAACGTTGCCTGACATTCCTAACATCACTTGATTCATTAATCCATTCTTCAAGTCAACTGTTCCCCATCTTCTCCAACTTCACTCTCATAATCTTTCTTGAAATCATTAGAAACAAAAGAATCACCTCATCTTTTCATCACTAAATCTATCAGTTTAACTATTTCATCTGTACCTTTCCCCACTCCCTTCTTTGCAGTTATTGACATATCTGCACATTATGGTCCACCGTGGCTTTCTTGCACTCTACTAGATCAAATACCAGAAGTACATAAACATGCTCTAGCATTTCCTTCCACTCTACATTGCTCCTGCAGTAATCAATCTCTTTGCTCTCTACTTCAGAGTAAAGTGTTTAAAAGAAATGTTTTAACATTTGTTTTAGTTGTCTGTGATTTCTTACCACTTATTCTCTCCTTTTATTGTTACAATCAGACTTCCATTCCCCATATTCCACCAAGACTGCTCTTGTTAATACCATCATCAGTGACCTGTAATTTATGTGATCAAAGTCAACAGTCATGTTGGTTCTATCTAACTTTACACCTCAGCATTTAACAGAACTAACAGTATTCTCACTTCCTTTCCAGATGTTCATGATGCAACATTCTCTTACTTCACTGGATGCTCCTCTCGATCTTTATAGCTACCTCCTCTTCTGCTCAGCCTCCATACATTCAAATGCCTGCAAGTATTGAACCTGGGCTCCCCGTTTTTATCCTCTCAGTTTTTGTTTGGTGAGTGTATCTAGCTTCATTGTTTAAAAGCAACAAATAAATTTTTTTCCAGCTTTCTCCATTTCAGCAAAGGTACCACCATCCATTCAAAAAACAAAAACAAATATGTGAGAATTAACCTTAGATCCCTCTTAATTATCTACCCTATCCAATCTATCAGCAAATTCTGCCAACTTTACCACTAAAATATATTTATCTCAAATCTATTTACTTTTATCTACCTCTATGACTACTACCCAAGCTAGGTTACATCATTTCTCATCATCTTGCTTACATAATTATCTTATTGGACTTCCAGGTTTATCTATAACATTCTGTATCTGCCAAGTAACTGAAAGAGTGATATTCTGAAACACAGATCAAATTCTGTAAGTGAAAGATTAGGGTTTCACTGCACCGAAAGTAACATTAAAACTCACTGAACATACACAAAAAAAAATATTTATCCTCCATTTCCCTATCTGAATTTATTGCCCAACAAACTCCCATATATCCATTAATCTACACTAGCATGAGTATGTGCATAAATATGCAGGTTGTGTGGGGGGAGTGAGGAGAGTTAGTTTGTGTTCCTTAAGACACCAGCTACTTTCTGATTTATAAACCATGCTATGTTCCCTCTATGTGGAATACTCTGCAAATCAAAGCTCCTTAATGGTTCCTTTCTTCATCTTGTAAAAATAAATCTCTTATAATTTAATCTTTTAAAAAAATCTTAATTATATAAATACACAAAAATATAATTTCATATAAATCCAAATATGGAATATATTAACATCTTTTGCTTATTTCCCTACTTTCCCTTGCAGCTACACAAATCCCTTAGCCTATATTTTCAGCACAGTATTTCTGATTTTTATACAAGATTATCATATAATCATGATAATATGATTTGTATATACATACAAGGAATTTTGATTTGACAAAAATGGGATGTTATCAGCGTTCCTTTGTTTTACTCATTTCACCAAACCCCATGGATAAGTCTCCAAGTCAAATACTTACTTCTAACAGTTTCATAATATTTTCATAAGTGTTATTACTCTTTTTAAAATTTTTTTTTTTTTTTTAGTTTTGATAGACTTTATTTTTTATTTATTTATATGTGGTGCTGAGAATCAAACCCAGTGACTCACATGTGCCAGGCAAGGGCACTAGCACTGAGTCACAACCCCAGCCCTTGTTACACTTTTTAATCTTTGCAAATATATAGTATAAAATAAAAATCTAATTTAATATGCATTTTCCTAATTTGTAGTGACTTTTTCATTATATTTGTTATCTTTAGAATCTGCTTTCTCTAAACTGCTTATCTTTTGATTGTTTTCCTATTATGTAATGTCTTTTACTTGTCTGAGTAAGAGATTCTCATACAGATATATTTTATGTTTTAAAATACATATATGTGTGTGTTTCAAATATCTTTTGAAATTTTCCCTTTATATATTAACTTTATGTATCATTTGTCATTACAAATTTTTTAATTTTTATTCTAGACTACAATACTACTTTTCAGAATCTGGAATTATACCACTATCAAAATATACTACCTTCAACCAGTGCAATCTAAATCACTGATGACTTGAGATGCACCTATATGATGTACTTGCTACATTAAAATTTTAAATCTAGCAAAGATACAGTAATTTAGAATGTTTATTCATTCTTTTAATATTGAAGAAAATTACAATCAACAATGTAATGTACCTCAAGAACAATTGTTACTCTAGACAGATATTTTCAAAATTAGTGAGATATTAACAAGAGTTAAAATTAACACTAAAAATGGCTCTTTAGAATATGCATTAAGCATGATTATAGAAAATTCTGAAAATAATAGCTCCTTATCAGTGAAAAGAATATAGACTCTACTGTCCTTTCCATATTCAAAACCATGTCTAAAGTTATCAGTCAGAAGGTGAAGATGGGTTATCAGTCAGAAGTTTGAAGGGGTTAATAGAGGAAAACACTTATAACATCTCCTCTCCATTCCTCCAAGTTACTCCAACTAGAGTAAAGTCAGAAAAAGCTTTTTCAGCAATTTGCACAAAAATACACACATGCTTCAATGATGGCACCAGAATCTATAAATTGAAAATTGTAAAATTAAAATATAGCACTTCCAAACTTCCTAAATGAAAGCTTCATTTTATCCTTAGCATTCTGTCTATTTTTAAAGACTTATATTTTTGTTTTACACTAACAATAAGATTAAGAGAAAGCTAAAAAAATTTCCTATAAATTCTGTCCCCAAACATGCAGTGTCTCCCTCATTATCAACACCCATCAGCAGGGTAGTACATTTGCTGAAACTGATGAACCTATAATGATACATCATTACTAAGCAAAAGCCATGGTTTATCTCCAAGTCTGGACAAATGTATGACATGTATGATACAATTACAGTATCATATTGAGCATTTTCCCTGCCCTTAAACTCCTGAATAATATTGTCTGGATGTACACAGTTTATTTATCCACTCACATGCTGAAGGACATCTTGGTTATTTCCAACTCTTGGCAATTACAAATAAAGTTGCTATAAACATCTATGTGCAAGTTTTGAGAGGCCATAACTTTTCAA